ATTTACATAAACGATTCCGTATCTTTTAATTTAAACCTTCTATACTTTACTTATTATAGAAATTCACAAACCTTACGTTTATTAAAGAAATTGTTCATCAAAGAAATCTAAAGTTAAACGTGTTAATATTTATTGCATACATATGAATCTTTTGGAATTTCCTTTATCACTTTTTGGTAAAAAATGATTTCTTTTAAGATGATGAGAAAATCACTTCTTCTGAAAAGTGACGATTGAGTGACACTACTTCGTTATATGATCAAAAAGGTCATTCACATGGATATTCCTTACATGTCTCTGAAGACACCGTAATTGTATAGAACATTTCTAAGCATTCTCTTAGCTCTTATTGACAATAGAATCTAACGATCAACCCGTTCTTCGAAAAGGGTTTCGCCTTCAGCAAGACTAGAAAAACTGAGTTCAAAAATATCGTATTCGGTACATCACATCGCAAAACACAAATTCCCGTCGTACCCTTATCGTGGCTTCGGTTAGATATTTATTACTTCTTATTCAAAATAAATTGCAGGTATACGGATCAGTTACGTATCCTCTAGAAGATGGATGGGAATTCTTTCGTTTGATGTATCAGTAGGTCTTCATTACACGATATCGAGTTTCGTGGGATCGGTGATGAATCGGGTATATAGTTACGTACCGTACGGAAAAACATTTCAAAGGTGTCTGAAGAAATTTTATTATCGATGAAAATATTACTTGAGTCCGTTTAAGAAAACATGGTAATGTTTAAATATACCTCTCATTAAAGAGTTTTGAATTGAACAAATTTATTACTTGTTTTATACTTTGAAATTGTTTTTGCTCCGACTCGTCTTCTACATCTATATCATTATTTTAAATTAAAAACATTTTAATAAATAAATGTCAAAGTAGCCACAAGCATGATTTATATGTCTCATTTTTATACCAGCATTTCCTAGCCTTGCATATACATACATCGCATTATTTACGTTAATGGAATAATTATTTAAAATATATTGAAAAGCTTACTAATTTGCACGAAGACATTTCTGTACAATGTGTGTTATATTATAGTACTTTGATATTTTGTTATATCCTTTGCATTAATGTATTTCATTGAATAATGCATATTTTTATGCTTTATTATATCATACATCACATAGTATTACTAGACTGTAGATGTTTATGCAAATTTATATTTTCACAGGCACAGAAAAAGAATTGCAACCTAAATAAAAGTATGTCTTATCTTCTAAACTGTATAATATGTATATGATTGTCGATATTTTGTATATTTTACAGTAACAAAAAATGTTAATAAAATACATAGTATTATGATACCTTATAGTATTAAATAAAACTCAGAAGATCACAAACCAAAAAAGGTTGAGAAACACTGTAAGTGATAAAATATCGATGAAATATATGTATCAATAATTTTTAAAGTTTCATCGTACATCTTAGATGTGTTCCCAAGGAATTACCGCGTATCAAAGAGAGTTATATCTTTCATCCTCGCACCACCTCTCATCCAGCTACCTCTTTTAACAGTGAAAGTGTTTTCTACCTTTAGCAAGTAAACAACTTTTGCTGTACTTCTTTTAGTTCGTTTGATGGAGAACTTTCTGCCAAGAATTGTACATCTTCCATTGCCATCGAGTAGAAACCACGTTGCTTTATTATTCATTCCCAGTACACGAAGGGAATGCCTCCATCTATTTTATTTTCCTCATACAATTTCGAATATATGTTTGTACTGCCTCTTAGACAACGTACACTATGTCATTTTCCGACTCGTAAATTCCTGTTATATGCTACAATTTCTCGAATAACGCGCACTACTCTGAACTGGAAAATAAGTGAGAAGTATAAACCGATGGTTTGTTTTCTAAAACTAACAAATTTATATCATTCCATTCTCAATTGATTGAGTTCACCTAATAAAGCAATGGGAAATGATTCCTTTCAACTATTTATCGTTTAAGTACACTTTTTATCTGTACTTTGCACTAATCAGAATGCCAAGACTTTTCTCGAAATTTTTCAAGTAACGAAATAGTGCAATTTCGGTTATTTCAGGTGTTCTTAATTAAAATTGTTGTCGTTATATAAGATAGCATTTACTGGTTGCAATGATAACATTAGATGTGAATTAAGAACAGTATTTCAGAAATCCATACCTTCATAGCTATTAATATGTTAAAATGTATTAAATATTATCATTACGCTCAACATATTACATTATTTTTCTTTGATTCTTATACGAATTACACAATTGTTAATGCAAGTTTCTCCCTTATTCATTCATATACATTCAATTTCTGTTGTTTATTTACGTTTATTGTCTACTTATATATACTTTTCTTTAAGTTCATAGTTACTAAAATTATTGTTACTATTAGAAATAGATCTTGGTGCCTTAAATTCAAGAATATTGGATTCGTTTAACGTTTTACTTTAAAGTTTCTCTAAATACATGTATATTTTTTTGATTTGATAGCTTTTCACTATATGATATATATATTTTGTCCTTTCTAATTTTCATTTTACATTTCAATGAAAAGATTTATAAATTATACAGTGAAAAACTACTGAACAAATAGAACTTTTATTTTATAATCGTTGTGCAAACAATTGTTTACAAACACATTGACAAAAGCACATTGCATACATAAAAGCCAAAAGTCTTCCAGCTTCTTTAATATTGATTGATTAACTAATTAATTCAATATTAATTTCGTGTATAGTTATCATGGTACTTGAAAACAATTTATATTTGTTATTGAATACTAAGTCAATATACCAATATTTTTATTTTAAGTTTTTAAGTATTAATTTTAACCATTTTAAGTGAATATGAATATATAATTGAAATCGAACGTAAAAGATGATATCTTGTGACTATTCATCACGGCAACATTAACAGACGTACTACCTTGTTACTCACCACCAACATTTTTCACATCTTTTCATAAATTGACCAACAAATTGGAATACTTCGCGTACCGTTTCCAGATTCTTAAAAGGGAGCATTTCAAAGAGTGTATTCGGAAAATGGGGCATTACAGCCCAGATAAGGGTACGTGCCTGATGGCTATGGATCGTCGAGTAAAGAGACTAAGAAATTCTCGATCGATGCGGTAACGGGAGCAGCTGAGGAGAGAATTACACGATTATGGAATCCATCTTTTAAAGAATTTCGCGAATGTCGAGTATGCTCAGCCACGAAGGCAATGGGAAATTACTGAACCGAGACTTTACGACGTTAATGCACGAATTCGACGTATCTTGTCGTATACTTTCGGACGGAATCAGTTGTTATGAAACTTGAAATCACTTTGAATACGTATTATACAAATTTTATAGTACGATTGGAACTTCCGACAACGTCGTGGCTTGTTCGGGATGTCTGACAACTTTCGAAATAAAAGAAATTTCATATGCACTTATACTTTCCAAACTGTTTACGGTTATGCGTGTATTTGTGAACTGTCATTCAGATAGTGATATAGAATTAAAGCTTTGTAATTGAATTTTATCGAGGAGACAAACGTTCTGTTTTGTTTTGCTATTTTAAGTGTGTTACTTTTTTTTTATTAAAGTAAAGTATGTAGAAGAGCATGAGACTCAATTTGCATGGAATTAATGCAAGTGACTTCGCATCATTTCTATTTGTATATACTTTATACTATATTATATTGTTGTACTATTATATCATGTACTATATATTATATACCACGTACTGTATACTATATTATACTTTCGAAACTGTTGTACAGTTGTGTGTGCATGTGTGAGCTCTCATCCAGATAGTGGCATACAATTAAAGTTTAGTAATCTAATTCTATGTGCCCTTTTTCATTATAATACAGTGCGCAGTTCTCTGTTTGCATGGAATTAATGCAATTGATTTTGCATTATTTCTATTTAACATTAGAGGGGTTAAAGGTAGGATAATTAATAATATTGAAAGTAAATATTATAATCATGCTACTGAAACTTATACAATTAATACCAAATTAACTCGATGTACCCGTTGTATAAGCGCATTCAAAAAGTCGGAACAATCTGACTCCACGGCTAATGGGTACATGAATAATATTCTCATTACATATTTATATTCGTATCATATAACGATGTTAAACTGCAATTGTACACAAGTTATAGAAGCACGACGGAAAACTAAATTAATGTACATTTAATATGGCAGAATCGAAATGACAGAAGATTGACTAATATATAACTAAATAGCAATTAATTATCAGACTCGGTCGACATGTATTTGAAAAGTAGCATTTAATACTTTTAATACATTTAATACATAATGTATGTAAACATGTATATTGATATTCAAATGAAAATCAATTTTTGTAATTTTTTGATTTGTTCATTAAAGAAGCAATGGTCTTTGATATTTGCACTATTCTTTCTAAATAGTGAAACATCAAATTGATCTTATTTATTTGTTTAATTGAACTTTTATTCCTCATCTAGAGACGCAGAAGTAATTACAATTATAATTTTAGTACAAAACACATGTCTCTCCTTCTGAGATAAAAAGTAACTCAATTTTAATGAAAACAATTTTTCGAATATTAACTGCACGTATATTTAAATATATATTTCAGCTTCAATTCTTAAAAGAGTAAAAATGGATCGAGCGAGGTTGATATAATAGATTTAGAAATTAATTCTGTGTCTTTACATTCGATCATTTATGACTCTAGTTTAAGTAGAAATACTTACTGACCATATTGTGACGTCAAAACAGCTTTAGTAATAGTGAGACACACAGATTGCTTCGTCGTTTTCTTTGTAGAATGTGCATTGGAATGTTTGATTTAGGGGAGAGTACAAGTTGCATGTTTTCATTTATAGATAAACGATAGAATATACTTCCGTTTATTTAAACGGAATTAAATTCTAAACCTACACCTCAATATATTATTGACGTTGAAACAGACTAAATATTTTCATGACAATTTAATTAACGCATATTTATTTTGTTGTTGTAGTTTGGAGACTGTCTGGGAATGCTACCGAAACAATGGAGTAATTAGCGACCTTCAATGCGCCACCGTCTGCAATGGACTACAGATCAGACAGGAAATTACCAGTACGAGACGTCTACACAGTAACTCCTAAGAGAAATGTCAGGTGAGTTACCTGAAGTAGACTGACACAGTCTAACAAGTTCTTTAATTTATAGCACATTACTCTTGATTACTCTTGATGGTTACTCTCTTAATTACACGAACTTAATTGAACAATCTCACGAAATACACGATCGTTTACTTTGACTTCATAAATCGTTTGATGTCGAACTATTAAGTCGCATCAATACTTCAAAGTTATTTCATTCAAGTAATCAACGTATAATTTGAATATATCGTAACCATTTCGCGATAAGAACAATAACGGAGATCTGTTTATATTATGTGTACCGTATTTCGAACAGATAAGAATTTGGAAATGGTTCTTGGGGATGAAGGTGACTGGGTGGAATGGATGAGAAATGTGCTGAAAGAAAGAGCGAGGAAAGAGAAGGAAGATGCAATTTGAAATTGATGTAATGTAAGCAAAAGTTCTTTCTTATGTAAAAATCACAAGAAATAGATTTTTCTTGTTATTCTTACTAGCAAAGAATTATATTTTCTTAAACTACGTTTTCGACTTATTTAAGAGCAGACAAATTCTTTTATTTGTGATTATTATATTCAATGTACGAATTTTTAGTTTTTATAATTGTCTAATTTTAGCATCTAAACAAATACGTCCGTTTTGAATAAAGTTATGTTCAATTTATAGTAAACTAGCTGCGCCCCGCGGTTTCACCCGCGTGGAATGCTATTTATTTTATTTGCGTTTGACCGACAGTTCAACCACGTTATTATTAATAGAAACTTATATATGACTTACTAATTAATACCGTGTAAAAGTATTCTCTTCGTTTCATTGTCATCAAGAAAATGATTTAATAACATTGTAGCTGTAATATTTATTTTTATTAGAAATATTATCCACCTAGAAAGGGATTAATCTTCAATGGCATGCACCTAGATAATATAAGCAGCTGATGCATGTTCATACCAAACATTATGGTTTGAGATTATCCTTCGAAACATATTCCCCCACGTGAATAACGTAACGTACACATGTGCAAGGTGCAATACATTATAATAGATACTGGTAAGCCTAGTGGGATTATTGGTTAAGAAATTACTATGGACCTTTAATTTATGGCAAAACGAAATTATCATCAGCAATATTTTGATAGCGACATAAAAATGAAATTACAACAGAAATCAAAAATATTCTTTTGATTTCTTCGTTTAAATTGTATTAGTCCTTCAAATATTATTATTCTTAAATACGTAACGTTCAACTTACGTTGCTCATAGGAATTTTCTTTCTAAAGCAGCTACCTTAAAATGTAGAGAATACAATTAGGATCACGTCTGGGCTTATCCACGTAGTTGACACTTTATAAAGAAAAGAATACAACGAGCGACAGACAATTTTAAAACGAGTTCAGTAACCTACGTACACTGGAAATACAAAATTCCTCTTTAAAGCTAATATAATAAAAAAGCTCATATAAAAGAAATTATATGAGGTGCAAAACTTAATTCTCTGCCTTTACATTCAGTCATTCATACTCGTAGTTTAAGAAAAAATATTTAGTCATCATTTGTTACATTAAAATACCAATTTGAAGATAAAAGAAAATGTTAGAGAAAAAAGTGGTACTGTTTAAGGACCAGATATGAGGATATTAAAGAATTTTCCGAATTTTGTCGTTTTCAAGGTGTTTTGAAATTTTTTAATGTTTTTGTTTCTTGTGAATCACCTGGCATATGTATGAAGTTCAATAGCCAATAAATTTTGTTTATTGTTGTTTTTCTAACAGATTACAAATGCAATTGGCAACTATTAGGTCTGGATATTAATTCTCTGTCTTCGTATTTAATTATTTAGAACTTTAGTTAAAATAGAAATATTTACTGGCCATTTTGTTACGTTAGAGTATATATATATGCTCTCTTGAAATGTGTGACTAGGGATAGAAATATGATTTTTCTTTATAAATAAATGATACGTTTGCTTTGGGAAGACACAAAATTAATTTCTGCACCTAATACTCTCGTATTATTTTCAATCTCATTTATGTGTTCATCCATAAACTTTCTTATAATATGGTGAACCCTACACTACATACAAAAAAAATATACATGTCGAATTGAGTAACCTCTTCCTTTTCCGAAGTCGGTTAAAAAAGGAAAAAAATTGTTCTTTTCTCATTAGGCGATTACTTAATGAAGGGCGGTGTTGTGCGACAGACTGGAAGACTTTCTATACTTTTTTTTCTGTGTACCGTCCTACGCTTCCTCCTACTAAAGAGAAATTGCGTGACATCTCTCGATAAAAGTAATAGCCACTATCATTAATTAATTTTACTCGATTAATGAGTCTTTGTCATATAATGATTCTTCTCAGTGTTTGATCGTTTTTACTAACGTGGAACAAAACTGTTTGCCTGATATTATTATTTTTTTACTCGCGAACTAGGAATTTCTTTTGTTTTTTAAAAATTTGCATCGTTAATTCCAGTCAGCAGGTCGGAACGCGCAAAAAATGTATGCCGCATGCATCTGACGGCTCTGCACTGCAATCCTTCATATTCGTGAAAATGAATATACAACAGAGATGAACGAAGTTTTTATATCCAGATGAAGAGTTCGAGTTAGAATCGAAAAGTAAACAGCTTTTGATCTATCTTTCCCTTTAATTAGAATCGCAATATGAATTTTGGGATGAAGTTACATTTCAACTTGAATGTACAAAAGCTTAACTGAATAACTGTCTGATCCAATAAATGTAGCAAATAAATCGTTATAGAATGTATCTATTCGTCGTCTGTTACTCCAATGAAATTTTGTTCGTCTCTGTGTAGTTCTATTTTCGGATCCTCATTTAAAATTTCAAACTACTAAAGAGAATTCACATTTATTTAAAAATTGAAGTGTATTTACTTCATATTTTATCGTGCACTCTAATCTGTGAATTTTATTCTTGTTATTTTTAAAACCAGAAACAATGTTCTTCTTTTCAAAATTGAGATTACTGCAAAATTAAAATTTTCCAAAATCCAATGAATATTTACGATAACACAACTATGTATCTAATGCAATCTATTGCATAGCTTGTAAACATATTGAACGGAGATATATGTATAAGGATTCTGCTGGAAGCTAATCCAGAGTTATGAACGTGGTGGTAATGTTATTTATTAAATTTTCTCCTATATCTCGAATGGGGCATATACATTATAGTTTGGACGAAGTATGCAGCATGTAAATCGTAACGGCGCCGAGCCAACATGAACGTATAACTGTCAACTGTGTTTTATGCGTTGGCACGTATAAATTTTGAAAATCTACTCTACGGTTTGTCAATCAGGTTCGAATATACAGTTTCGTATGATTGTACCAGAATCGTCGTTCTTCTTCAATCGTAGATATCTTAAACAAGAATAGTTATTTACACGCAACTATGCTGATTCTGTTTAAATCTGTCGTTTATATTCGGTTATGCATACTTTATCCTGATGTACATTCAACTGAAAGAACGAGACAGATTCGTAGCTCCAGGATTCGAGCCAAGAAGCTTATCTGCAATCCTGGCGAGTGGCGATAAATGTTCTTACTTAACACTTTACGAGCGGTAGCGTTTGGGCATATATGTACTTAAATTCAATAATATTGTTTATTTTCATAACATTAGTGTTATATTATATTATATTTATATTTATATAATATTTCATAATCCACATATTAATGGAAGCATACAATGGGATCGTGCTATCTTAGTAATAAATAAGAAAGTATTGTTTGGCATGGAAAAGAGACAATTAATAGGCTACCGGTCGGTAAAGTGTTAATAGTTAAACGATAAACCAAACAACATCATGCATGTACGCATTTATTAAAGTAATACGAAGTAGAATTCAAAAACCCATATAATCATTCTTTTTTTGTTGTAACTATTTGGTTTTGTTTTGTAATCACACAAATTATTTGCTATTATACAAATACTAATAAGCAACATTTGTGTCTTACACAATATTTGAAGTAGGAATTTATAAACCGATTTTCGTAACTGTATTTATATATTTAAAACAGGACATGATGAAGAAAGTATTGAATTGATATTAATAAATTGTCAGTAAATTGAATTCCATAAAAATAACTATTATAATAATCTCTGCATAATATCAGCAGTACAATTCCTGTTGATAATAAAGGATTTTCTAAAAGGACCTTTAGAATTTAGTTTTTTAATAACAATATACGCCTGTCAGCATAGTCGCGATGAAAATGTAAACATCATATTTCACGTTTTATTATAATAATATACACTTTCATTTAAAATAAAAAAAAAATCCATTTATAGTTGATCGAAACTATGTTTACGAAAATCAGACTTCTATTACCGAAGTAATGCTTTCGCGTATGAAGTCGATTTACTAGAATTAATTAAAAAGCTAAGACGAAAATGAATTCGAATATATGCTTGTTTCTTTATATGGATAAAAGTCAGCATAAGTAATTCTTGAAAAATGTCTATAACTTTCTACAACTAAATGTTTACTCTTTAAACCTAGTATCACCACCATCTGTGTTTTATTAAAAGAACACCTCAAAGCTCCCGTCGAAAAACCCATTACACCATATTTCCTACAGCGTAACTACAGAATCCAACGATTACACATTTTGTAGCTGGATCACAATTCCTCGGGTGCGATTCAATTCTTCAACGAAGACTGTGTTAGACGTTGTCGTTCGACCACTTGCGCAATTATCTCGCTATGATGTAATCCGTTGTGGCAAAACTATCTGTCAAGTTAACCAGCGTACCAGTGAAATTGTGATAGAGGAGAGATAATAAACCTCTCTAATATTCATGGTCTCGAAAAGATTAAAGGGTTTACGGACCACAGCGTGTTCGTTAAGCGGTGCAATTTATCTGCTGTGTGTCGCGATGCTCGTCGAAGCGTAATATCGCCGATTAGTTATTAAGGGCCAAACTTCGGAGATTCCCATACTTGCGTATACTACATCAAATAGCGCATTGAGTGGTCCCCGCCACTCCACGGA